AATAGCCCTTCTTGTTATTACTTTAATAAATGGCTTTTGACTATAAACTGTATTGATACTCCTCCTCTAGGGTAATTTCTACAGGCAAGGTTTATCTCCTCTTAGTAAAATAAAATAAAGTTATTAGTATTGCATTACCTTTCCCAAACTGCCTTAGAGAAGGGTATAGTTTTTTGACAACGTCTAACAGAAGCTATACTTCTCTCTTGGACATCGCATATACCCGTAAGAGATTTCCTGTGCCATGTTGTCATTATAGTATGAAAATTAAGAAGGCTTTCACCTATAATATTATAAAAACTAGTCTAAAAAAATAAATTTTAAGATTATAATATCTAGATAAACAAGAACTTTTGGGTTAAGAGTCTTAAAAGTACCATCAACCAGGCTGTTATAATAAACTGAAAGAAAAAAATATTAGGCCAACCTAATATACTGATAGACTAGTTGTAGTTTTATATAAGCTATCTAAATTAGAAGTCTAATAAAAAGACAAAAATATACTAAAGTATTAGGATTATGCTATAAAAGATATTAGAATTCAAGTGAACTCTACAAAAACATAATAATTAAATAATATAACTCTAATTATAAATGTTAGTTCTGCTATAGCAATACTAGATTAACTATAAAAATAAGTATAAAAGACTTTAAAAGATTTATCTTGAAGATAAAATAATCCTAAAGTTGAGATGATAATCTAAGCATCTGGATATAATTCAGTAATATTAATACAAATTGCAGGTCTAGAGGGTTTAAAGTAGAACATCCAAGTAGAAGTATTAGGTATAGTAATTGGTAAGAAACTTTTAGACAAACTTCTTAAATAGTTAATATAAAAAAATTATACATTTAACTAATTGTATGCTTTCTTGTAATAGTTCATTAAATTACATTACCAAAAAAATTGTTAATAAAAATTAAAAAACTAAAGAGATCATCTTAATACCAAAAAAAAATTAAAAAAATTTCAAAATACTATTTAAAACTATATAAAAATAATCTAAACTTAAACTTAACTAAAAGTTTATTTAATAAGAACCTTAATAAATAATACTTAAAAATTAATAACAAATAAATTTTATTTATAACAAATTATTATAAAAATACTATATATTTTTCTATAAAATATATTAAAAACATTTATTTTATTATTATTTTTTTTGGTATTAAGATGATCTCTTTGGTCTTTTGACTTTTATTAATCATTATCAATATTGTAGTTCAATGAACTACTACAGAAGAGAATACAATTGGCTACACATATAATTTTTCTATATTACCTATTTAAGGAGTCTACTCGAAAGTTTCTTACCAATTGTCGTATCTAATACCCTTGGTTGAGTGTTTCATTTTAAACCCTCTGAATCTGTAACCTGTGTTAACTTATTGGATTATACTCAGATGCCCAAATCATCATCTTAACCTTAGAACTAATTTATCCTTAAGATAAACCCTTTAGAGCCTTCTGTACTTATTTTTATAGCTGATTTAGGTATTACTATAACAGAACCTATACTTGTGATCAGGACTAATCATTAAACTGCTATGTCTTTGTAGAATTTACTTAAACCCCAACATCTACTTTACAGCATAATCCTGATACTTTAGTATACCTCTGTTTTTTTATTTGCCTTTTTATTAAATTTTTAATCTAGATAGCTCATGTAGGACTATGACCAGTTCATCAGTATATTAGATCAACCTGTTATTCTTTTTTTCTGATTTATTCTAATAACCTGATTGGTGATACTTTTAAAACTCCTAACCTGAAGATTCTTGTCTATCTGATTATTATGACTAGGTATTATGACCTTGGTATCTGTTTTCTTAAGCTAGCCTTTATAGTAGAGCCATCAAAAATTCAGCTATTTCTTTATTCAGGTCTTCCCAAATAAACTTTTTATTATCTAATTTTAACAGATTTATATAATCATAAGGACTTATCTAATGTTTGCATTATCTGATTTATTAGTTTGCATTTTTTTATATAATATCATATTTACATAAATACCCTATAACCTGTCAGTCATGCTGGTGCAACCACTATTACAAGTATCCTAACCCAATCATTAATAACAGTTGTTATAATATAAATATTACATAGATAATTATCTAAATTTTTACTGTTGATGAGATTTGAATACCCAACCTACCACTTGAGAAGTTGACAACCTGACCACTTCACTAGGTCATCACACTCTTTTAAAAACATTTATATTCTTATTAATAAATCTAATTTATTAACAAAAAAATTTAAAAATTATAATTTAATACACCAGTGCATTATGATGCACCTATTATACTTTAGGGTAAGTATATTAGCACATAACAGGTTTTTTAGTTGAATTACATAACTTGTGTAACGCACATGTCATTGTGTAACACAGCACATAATCCCGTGTAACAGCATAATATATATCTGTTATATATCAATTAGGTGTACAGTCATACCTCTTTATAATCACACTTTTGGAACCATATGAACTTTTTTTAAAAAACGTTCTTGTAAAGAGGTGTGCTTTATATAGAGGTCTTTTGTTATATATTAGATAGTAATTGGGCATAAATATAGGTGTGATTATAAAGAGGTTTGTATATGATGTGATTATATAGAGGGTGATTATAGAGAGGTATGACTGTATTTATTTGTATTATATAAGAGGTGCACCATGGTGCAAGTGCACTATTTTATAAAATCCAAAAAATTTTTTTAAATTTTATAATAAAATAATTTTTTTAGATTTAGTTAATTTTAACTTTAACCAACACAATAATTCAACATATTGTATTATATAATAAAATTATAAATTTCTTAAATCAGTGAATATTTTAAAGACATTAGTACGTAATACGTATCAATATATACCGTTTAGTTATAAAATCGAAAATTGGTACAATAGTCATGTATAAGTCTATAAATCAATTCCAAAAACTAGCCAATCGAAAGAACGTCCTCCTATAAGAGGAAGTCTGTCAGTTGTATGGCTTTATATAATAAATATTTTTGTATATTTTATGCATCTTTATATACTTAGTTTGGAATAAACTAAAGCAAATCATCAATTATTAAGACTCGTACAAATAGTTCCATTAATGTCTAGATTAATACAAAGGTAACTCATCCTTTAGAACAAACGAACAAGAGAATAAATTGTGAAAAGAATTCATATAAAAACTGTAAATAATTTGTAGAGGCAAAAATAATGAATGTCTAAAGCATAAGAATCAATAAATGTGCGAAACCTTTTCGTATCATTCTATTCTTCTTCTTCAGCATTCTTAAGCCAATCGACAAAAACTGCACATTTCTTTTTCACATCGTTAGAATCTTTAGCCTGATCGTACCATTCCATAACCGAATCTTCTTCTACATAATCTTTGTCATAAAAAGCCTTAAAAAGAAGCGGTGCTTTGGATAAAAGACTCGTGTTACGTTGAGTAATAAACTTTTCCCAAGATCTAAGAAAAATAACTTGATCTTGATTTGAGCGAATGAACTTTGAGAATTAAAAAAAGGTTATTAGAAATGAAATATTTATAAACTGAATAATAATTACATAAGAACATACAGTTCGAAATAATTTTTCCTTTCGAGTAAGGTCTTTGTTTACAACTTCCCATGATGCATCATCATACATGCTCGGAAGTAATATATTAAATAATTGTGACTTCGATAAATCTTTCCTCGTTTCGATGAGCGTAATTTCCTTAATCTCTTCCGAAATAGGCTTATTTTGTTCTGAAGATTGAACAAAAAATCGCTTAAGATCCGTGATGAGAACTTCTTCATTAGAACGTTTATCTACAGCTGCCGTATTATCTGTCTTTTTGCTGAATAATCAATAAAGGCATGGATGTAAGTGATAAACCATTTTAATAAAGTATCGCATACTCTAAGAAATATGCAATCCCTTAACAAATTTCCGTATTCTATTATCGTTCTACCTCTGCCAATATGAGATTTAAATTGCTTATTTCTGGGAGTATACAATAGCATAATAATAAGTATCGAATCCTTATACATTTTTCCAAGTTGTTCTCGTTCGACGTTAGACAATTCAACCACTTGCATCCATGGCTTTAACATAATATAAATTAACAACTTTATGAATCATAGTATGAAAATTTCAACAATTGTTTAAATGGTTACCTTCTCGTCAACATCAAGTATGTCTTTTCCGGTTCGACGTTTGGTCACAGCTTTGTTGAAAGAATTCGTATGCACGGAAGAATTTTTTTGTTCGTTTACTTCCTCATCCGGCGTTTTTGAATCATCATCGGCTTTCTGTTCGGATGACGCTACTGATTTTGATACATCATCGGTTTCGTCTTCAAATTTCCCTGCTTCATTATGAGTTTGTTCCACTTTTTCAGATTGCGTTCCTTCTGTTTGAGGACTAAACACGACATATTGGATGGAACGACAAATAGTCTTAAAAAAGTATATTAAGATATTAACATTTGATAGGCTTGTTATGCCTGCCATGCATCAGACAAATAAATATACAATAAAATTGACCAACTTTGACTTTACAATTCGATGCGCATTTGTTTTTTTTTTATAAAAAAAAAAACAACACGAAAATAACAATCCTAATAAATAATAATAACAATAATAATGATATTAATAAAAAAACTACCTGTTTGTCGTTGAATGAACCTGCTCTGAGGCTGAAAAAATGGCGATTCGACTGAAAATTCCATTCTGAATTCCACTACTACTAGGATTTGGAGGAAAGGTTCTCTTTTCCGATTCATTTTCGTTCAGAACATTTTGGCGATAATGTGGATGCTGGTATTTACCGTGTGAATGCGGTGGATGAGGTGGATGTGGTTCAGGGCTTTCGCGACTATTTTGACCAGTGTTAGGTCTTTCTCTTAATTCATTCTCTCCATGAGCAAAATTACACTTAGGTCCATACTGACAAAAATTTTCCTTCATAAATCGTTCGCATAAACGTGTCTTATACAAAGGATTATCTGGACCATCTTTTGCGGTTGGAGGTATGTCAATCTTTTCCTCACCAGGAGGTCTTTCCCTTAATTCAGCAGTTCCATGGGCAAATGTACACTTTGACCCGTATGGGCAAAACCTCTCTGTCTCGAAGCGTTCGCATAATCGTGTTTTATAAAGCGGATTTTCGAATGGCATCACTGGAGAGTGAAGGGGTGACGAAAAGCCATTTCCATTCTTTTCAGGGCGATTATGTTGTTGACGCTGTTCTTTGCCTAACTGACGACTCATAGCTTGTCGTTGTGAATCTAAAGGTAAAGCAAAGTTCCAAATTTTCATTTTGCTTTCTAACCTATCGCTATTGATTTGATTTTTCTCAACACGTGATCGCTGTTGAGGTTCCGAATTTTTTGGAGGTTTGTTATTCTCGACATACGCGAAGGCCTTCTTAATAACTTCCTGCATATTCTTATAAAGAACTTTCTCAGTGGCTTGGTTAAGAGGCAACCATGCAAAATTGAGACCTTCGCCGCTTGTATAAACACGGGCATGATCCGATACTTGGGCAAGGTAATAAACAACTCTTTTAGGTCTATAATTTTAAATAAAGAATTATTTTGTCATTCAACATTCTCGATCGGTAAAAAAATTTCATTATAAATACCTTGTTCCAGATAAATAAGTAATTTCAGCTCTAAAACTGTCTTCTATTCTTAAATCTTTTACCGAAAGACCAGTGATTTCGATTGTATTACGAAGAGCGCATCTGAATATCGAAAAGTTGAGGCGCATATAAAGTTGTTATATTTATTTATTTGGCCAGTTTTAATTAATAAATTTAAAGCATACAAAATTATAAAACAGAAATCCAAAGATCGTATTAACATTAGCAAGATCATGACTGGTAATGATAATCGTGAATAAAAAAAAACTTACTTTACTTCGTCTTCTTGACGAATTACTTCACCTTTCGGAGCGGTCCAATGTTTTTTATGCGAAAAAGTATCGTTTAACAATAAAAATTCAACTTGTCGTAGTATACGATATATGAGTATTCCTGTAACATGGAGAGGATGTGACTTGTTCTCGTCCATGAGCGAAGGGAAGGTTGCAATTAATCGGAGTTACAATTAAATAGTTAATAACAACGTGGAAGGGTATTTTTGTCCTGCAGTCACTCTTATTTGTTTCTATTTCAATTGTAGTAACTTTAATGCTTTCTGATTTATCTAATCTTTTATATGGAAGCTCAAATAAATTATATAATTATAAAATTTAACTAGCGAAGGATTGATCTCACTTTTTTTTTTAGAATTAGTGTAACTACTACGCATATTATTGATTAAATTCCATAGGTTAATAGATTGGCATTAACTCGTGACTTAACACATTATTCCGGTATCTTCAAAAACATAAAATCAACTTTAGTAAATAAAAGTGACATTCTTATTGGATGAAATCAACAATTCAAAATACAATTATTCTTTAACCTTTTAGCAAAAATATCTTGACAAGCATTCATCTAAAATTAGAAAATAAATAACACACTTTACAACTTTTTAAAAAAATATTTTTTGTAATCTTTTAAATTTAGAAAAAAATATCAAACCATTTTGTAAAAATATTATTTTAACTTTTTAAATTTTATAAAATATTTTACTGAAAATGTACTTTATAAACTTTATTAGAATTTTTTTTTAAAATTAATAAAAAACTTTCCAGCAATAAAAATTAAAGATTTTGTTTATAAATTTTTATTATAAAAAATTTTTTTAAATTTTTTAAGATTTTATATGTTTTTGGAACTAAAAAAAAAATTTATTCTTAATACAAATTTAAATTTTTATAAATAAATTAAAAAGAGTTGTATTAATAAAAGTTATTATTTTTTAAAATCTATAAGTTTAAAATTAATATTTAAAGAGTTTGCTAAGAATTAATAAATAATTTTTTTGGTTAAAATTTTTTTAATTTGTTTATTTGTAACTTAAAAGTAATTTAAACTTTACTTAATAAGTTTCTAAATATTCTAATAGGTTTAAGTTATAAATAAATTAAATAATTTATTTAATAGTTTGAATTTTTCTTTTTGTATATAATTTTCTTTTTTATTTTTATTTTATTTTATTTTTTTTTAGTATTTTATTAGAATTTTTGAAACTATACAGATTACATAAAATTTTTCTGATATATAAGTCTAGCATTACCCAGCCACCCAAATGGTACCTAAGTATAACCTGTCGCACTATCCCAGTTAGAGATAGACTGCTTGTCTGACTGCCACCCTACAATAGAACATCACCAATCTGATGACATCTTCTTGTAGGGAAGCAAAAAACAAAAAAAAAATTTTTTTATGTAAAAAAACAAAACAGAGGTATAGAAGTATATGATAAAAGATACAAATTAAGAAATAAAAAGGAAAAAGAAGTAAATGAGAAAAAAGAAAATATGTGAAACTTGCAATTCACAAATATCAGATAGTCACAATTGTATATCTGTATCAGATTTTTAAAAATTATAAACTATACTAAATAGAAGTAACTCTACTATTTTTCTATTTACTTAGATCATTTAACAAAAAACCATATAGG